TGGTCCTCGTGAAGTTTACTACAGCGGCCATATAACATAGCGAAAATTCGGTGTCGGATACGTGGTAGGAGAGAGATTCCGCCACCGAGTATTAGCATTCAATCCGGTAGATGAACGTCTCACCACAATCCATGTCAAAACGAAATCTATAACACCACGCGAAATTGCGCCCACGTTTTTACGGAAGAGAAAGATGACTTGACCAAAGATACTTTTTATGAGCGCCTCCAGAACACTTATGAGCGCTGCCCCTGCCACGACGTCAAAATTGTGCTTGGCTTTTGGAATAACGGTCGGAAAATTCAGCATACACGACGAAACATCTCCTAATGGACTGAGGCTGATTGACTTCGCAAATATGGTTGTCTGTAGCACTAGATTCCATCACAAAAAAGTAAATCAAGCTACTTGACCGTCTCCAGATCGAAAAACAGAAATCCAGAGTCAACTTGTTGTGATAGTCCAACATGTATACCGCGTTTTAGATGTACGTACGCTCCATGGTCCTTACGTCGACTCTGATCACTATCTTGTCGCCGGAAAGCTACACACGCGCCTCTATATATCAGAGAAGGCCCGTCAACAAACACAAGGAATGTTCGACCTTGAAAAGCTGTAATCACGACAGACTGCCAAGCGGTTTTCGACTCGACTTGGACACCTGCCCTCTGAGAGCACTCATCAGCAACTCGGTATGCGGGGCCTGTGGGACGGCATCGAAAACGCCCTATGCACAGCTGCAAACGAAACTTTTGGTTATCGAACACATCGCAAAAACAACTGGTACTGGTGCCGTGTCGTAGCGGAGAGAAAACGGACTGCCTACCTCGTAACTTTGCGATCGACGACAACAGGTGGAGGGAGGTAAGACGCATCTGCAGATAATAAAGAAAGATGCCGAGGTGCGTGAGTATGAGGAGCTTGAGAAGCTGGCCGAAAATTCTACGAAAAGGAGCGGTGACTTACGGAGGTTTCAAGACCGGAGCAAACTCTTGTAGGACCCAGAAGGGTTAGCAGGTAACGGATGTCTGGGGTACACTGAATTTATGAGGGGAACACTTCTTCGGCCTGGTGAATGGCAGTAAATTGAAACGCCCAGAGAAGGAGAACCCGAAACTTCAATTGATGATGATAGAAAAGTTGTACCATTTCCTGACTATGATGAAGTTCGAATATCAATCGTTCGCTGAAAAAACAACAAAATGGTGGGGACCGACCACAAAAAAGGCGATCCCACAGTCTGCGCCAATTTCCGAGGAATAAGCCTTCTCAACATCGCAAATAAGGTCCCATCAAGCGTGTTGTGAGTAAGACTATAGGAGACCGTCAACAAAGTTATTGGACCTTATCAGTGGGGCTTCAGACCTGGTAAGTCAACCATTGACCAGATATTTACCATGCGCCAAATCTTAGAAATGACTCGTGAAAATATGATCGACACACACCATCTTTTCGTCGATTTCAAAGCAGCCTTCGACAGCACGAAAAGGAGCTGCCTCTACGCCGCTATGTCTGAATTCGGTATCCCTGCTAACTTATATGGCTGTATAAACTGAAGAATATGGATCTGGTAGTGACTGAGGGCAAGACGAAATATCTTCTGTCATCAAACAAACTGACATACCTCGCGTAACTTTTGACAGTCATAACTTTGAGGTCGTAGATAATTTCGTCTATCTAGGAACCACCATCAACATCAATAATAATGACAGCCTTGAAATCCAGCGCAGAATCACTCTTGCCAACAGGTGCAACTTATTACTGAGTAGGCATTTGAAGAGTAAAGTCCTCGCCCGGCGAATGAAAACCAAACTCTAAAAGTCGCTCAGCACACCCGTCCCACTATATGGCGTAGAAGCGTGGATGATGTCTACATCTGATGAGGCGGCTCTAGGAGCCTTCGCGAGAAAAGTTTATCGAATGATTTTTGGTCCTTTGCAAATCGGCAACGGTGAATACCGTAGAAGATGGAACGATGAGCTGTACGAGCTATATTATGATATTGAAATAGTTCAGCGAATCAAGAAGCAGCACTCCAACCTTGAAAGTATTCGATGCAATACCCCCTGGTGGAAGCAAGGAGAAAAGGAAGACCTCCGATCCGTTGGAAGGATCAGATAGGGAGTGACCTGGCTTCACTTGGTATTTCCGAGCAGACAGCGAAAAGAAGAGAGGAATGGCGCGCAAAAATTGATTCGGCAAGTGGTGTCAATGCCAATAAAGAAGGGAGATGAAGATAAGTTTGATTTTAAATATTACGCTAGATGGCATTTTAAAGATCATATTTTGTACGGAATTGAAGACGATGATTTTTTTAGAGCTATAGGAAAATTTTCAAAAAACACATAAAATTGAGAAAAATGCAGGAAAATTTTACTTATCAATTTTTTTATTTGTTTGAAGATAATATCATGCAAATCTTGACCGTGACTGCGCCTCAAATGGTTTGTCCGCTTAGTCCAATTTTGGCATACTCTTTCCAACATTTCGGCCGATATCTCATGAATAAATGTTTCACTGTTGTATTCCAAAGCGTCAATTGAAGCAGACTTGTCTGTTTAGACTGATTAAACATAGCCGCACAAAAAAAATGTTCACCGAGCTCGCCTCTCAAAAAGTCCCACGCGTGCTGGGTGGCATGTGTCACTGTCTTGTTGAAACCACATGTCATGCAAGTCAAGCCGTTGCATTTTGGGCAAAAAAAGTTTGATATCATCTCACGGCAGTGCTCACCATTCACAGTTACGATACGGTTCGCATGATCTTTGAAGAAGTACTGTCCAATGGTACACCAACCCAAAAACCTCTCCTTACTGTGACTTTTTCTGGATGCATTGGTAGCAATTGCAATGCCTCTAGCTGATCTTCACTCGAAAATCGACAATTCCGCTTATTTACGAGCACAATTATTTCGATCAAGACACGCATTTTGATAATAAAATGAAATAATTTGCAAACGTTGTTGGTTTGTAAGAGGATTCATGGTTCAACTTAAGACCAAACTGAGGATGTTTGACGGTGATACAAAACACGAAACTTGCGTCAGCTAGTCAAAAAGATAATAGCTAAAAAAATCACCCTTTACGGCATATGGAATTCAAATGAAAAGTTTTATCCAATGATTGGATTCCTTGAAGGAATGGGAAATATTTTATATATTTTTGAGATGCGCATGTGTCAATTAGAAAGCTTCGCATTCTAATCTCTGATCGGCTTTTGAACTTTTTTGATAAATTAGCTTTCTCTTTAACGCGAACATTAATTCGCTTGTTCTTAGTTTATGTGTTCAGTGCACAATTTATGAGGGAATTTTATTGAAAAAATAGTAGTAAATAGTAACAAAATTATTTATTAATACAAAAAAACACTAATTAAAAAATAATATCAACATCATTTGCGAAGCCTATAATGCTTTGTTTACGAAATTTAGTGTGGATATGTAACATTGGATGTGTTCAGCGAACTGAGCGCTCAGCAAACATGTTCAGTGAGCGGACCCTGAACGCAATAATAAGTTAGCGCCCAGCAAACATGCTCCTTGCTACTGATCGGTCAGTGGCTGTATACAGAAAATTTAAAAGTATTCTTGCTTGAAAGTGCTTTTGGCGACAATTTACTTGATTTTTTGAGTTGTCAAGTAGAACTGTTCTAGATAAACAGTTTCTCAAAGAAAGAAATTTAAAAGAGGTCCAAACAATTTTATGAAGAAATTGTGCCATTTCACAATTAGTTTCGGCAGTTGAAGTAGCGGTTAGTGTGGTCGTTTCGGCAGTTGAAGTAGCAGTGATGTGGTCGTTTCGACTTTTGAAGTAGCATTGCGTTCTTGAAAATTAATCGCACAGTAAAATCGCTCACTGAACTGTTAACTGTGTTAACTTTTCATTTACATAGCGTTCTTATAAGATAGGTTGTATCAGCTGAGTAAAAAAAATCATAACCATAAAATCTACTCACTTGATTGCTCTCTATTGTAAGGTTGCCCTTAGAGACATTTATAATTAAATTTAAAAGGAGCTATGTATATATGTAGGTAAATGCATTTTTTTAAGCTTGAAACTATAAAATATGCTGACAAAAATTGTCAATTTATGCATGCATACTGTCAGCTGGTATGTCATAACTTTGACAACATAACAACATTTCTTTTTAATTTGAAACTATCAAAAATCGATTATTTATTTTTATCCATATATAATTAGCGCATTTTAATCGCAGAAGCGATTTTCGTCCAGGCTATTCTTCCAATTTGTGAGAGGCCTACAACTTATACTAAGCCGCCTCCACCCGGCTGATGGTTTTTATGAGAAGCCTATATTTCATGTCAGGTTGACATTCCCTGCCGAGGCGCCACAGAATTAAGAAAAGAAAAGAATTGACTGCTGTCTGCATTAAAATTGCTTGTACTGGACTATCAAATTGTAAAATCTCTTCAAATTGCTATCAAAGAATTTGAGTATTCTTAAGAGAAAATTTTGTTAATTTATTGTGAAATTACTGCTTTCCGGATATTGAAGTTAATTTTCCGTAAAATTAATGCTACGCTTGACTTTTGACATTTTGAAAATAATGGATTGCTATGTCTGACGGCACCGCTATTCTACAACTAAATAACTAACTACAACACTTAATTCTAAACTAATAAAATTTACCCTTCACTTGTTTTTCGCTTTGACTTTATAAACTTCTTAAAAACAGAAAAAATACAACATATATCAAAATCAAACGTACGTTTCATACACTTTTCGAAATAGTTTGTTATAGTGCTGACCTCAAAATAGAAAAGAATTAGAACGTTAGTGTAGAAACTTTATACATTATATTTAAGCGCTGAAATACCAAAATAATTACATTTTAACACTATTTTAAAGTTGTGTTTGTGAAATGTATGAGTATATAATGTTTATGTTTATTAATATATGGTAATCTACATATAATAGATATTATTATATATTCAATATAATTTTATAAGTTGCATAATGTGTCAATTTTGTGCTGTTTAGGCATTCGCTTGGTTTAGTGACTTGCTTGTGGAGCATGCAGAGATTTTCTGGTCACTCTTCGCTGTTGATATGGACAGGGTACTCACTGAGCAGCAACCAGATACTTGGGACTCCTTTCCTTTATTTCAAATCCTAAATGACTATTTGCGGGCAGATGGTAAGTAAAATTACATATATTTACATATACAGTGAAACTATATACATATAAGCGGGCACCAACGAGACCAGATGTTTTACCCGGTAAATAGAGGTGCCCGTTTAACAGATGTAAATTTGTATGGAAAAAGCTTAAAGGGACGTGCCTGTTAAGGGAAGTTTATATGTATATACATATGTATATACACATACCTTATATAGATATTTATATAAGTGCGCTTTTATCATATTTAGTGCTATAAACAACAAATTTAAATTGCAAAAAAATTCAACACAATTTAATTCCAATACCTTTATTTACAATACTCAAAGAACGATTTTATTAAAGCAATCTTTTATAAAAAATAATCGCACGGTAGTAAAAGTGTATTTTACAGTGATTTTACAAGTGATTAATTTTTTTACAATTGAATCCATTTTAAAGTTTTTCCTTTCATCGTTAGCGATCTTAATACCAAGAATAATTTGGTATTCTTTTCTGCGAAAGCGTAAAATTTAATATTGGCTACTTTTAAAGCAAGCGGCCTCCAATGTTATCTTCGGAACATCAAAAATGAACTTCAGTTATCACAATTTTCGTCAAAACTCTGATCTTGAAGAGCCACCATGACGTTCGACAGACCGAAATAACAAATTTGCGCAAGCCTCGTGAACATTATCATAAAATTTTGAAAATAATAAACAATTTCCCTTTGAATATTTAGTTTTCTAATCTTAAGTGCACGCTCAAAATATTTTCCAAATCTAAAAATTTGCTGCGATGGATTTCGGATTGTCTTCCTAATCTCAATACTTTTATTATCGCCTATATTTATTAAAACTATATGCTATTTGCTCGTTATTTTTTACTACCAATTTCTTATGTGACTAATTTTTTCATATACGTTTTATAACATGAATCTAAACTTAAGCTCTAAGATATGTTAACCACAGTAAATGTCGGTGCGAACATTCTTGAGCCCACAACCAACCAATTAAATTTCGACCATTTAGCAGAAAAAAGTTCTGACAACATTGGCATTAATAAATTTTTGAGGTATTGCAAATAGATTTTGGAATTAACGTGACGATAATTCTGTACCATTTAAATATTAACGATAGCATTTTTCTTTGATAACATGCTGAAGCAAAACGAAATCACTTGGTTGAGTCAATTTTTAGATTGACAGATCTAGCTCACCTCGCTTTTTCATTCTATCAAGTTGGTGCATTTGAGCATACAAGTTATGTCCCTTTAAATGAGAGGAACTAAAAAAAGTACTTTTATTTTTTTCGGACAGCGTGTCCGCCTTTATTGAAGTCAAATATAGAACTTAGACTAACATTTTAATTTACTGATTTTTATACTACTTAAGAATATGACAAATTGCTTACTAAAGTATTATTAATAAGTTTAGCAAATNCACCGGATTTCTTATGAGCACGTATCCTTACTTTTTTACTTTTTCAGGATTTTTCATGCACTTTTTTTTCACCACCGGATTTCTTACGAACGCGTATCCTTACTTTTACTTTTTCAGGATTTTTTTTATGCTCGGGTTTGCCCACGCGTGTCCTTACTTTTACTTCTTCAGGACTTTTTTCGCGAACTTGGCATCGGGCGCCAGTTATGTCCCTTTAAATTAGAGGAACTAAAAAAAAGTTTTTTCGGACAGCGTGTCCGCCTTTATTGAAGTCAAATATAGAACTTAGACTAACATTTTAATTTACTGATTTTATACTACTTAAGAATATAATAAATTGCTTACTAAAGTATTATTAACAAATTTAGCAAATGTAATAAGAACCTGATTTCCTGTCTATAATTTTATTAAATTTAGCAGACGCTGATTTTACAAAAGTAAGTTATGAAAGTGCAATTTCCTGTTTACGAGTTATTCTGTTATTTACTGTTGACACATTTTTTTAAAAGTTGATTGACGTAGGTATTTTTGACACTGGTCAAAAATCAGCTTAAATGTTAAGTCAGCATTTATTGGTGATAAAATTAATAAAGAGCGTGTTAACTTACATACATATATGTATATATTTGTCACAAAAATATATTTATTATTTTAGTAGTTAAAGAAATAGCAATTTTTGCTTTTTGGTGTTTAAGGATTTTACATTCTGGCATACAGAGGTACATACATACTTATCAGAGAAAAACACCGGTGCCTGTTTTCGGCATTCTAGCGTGCTCTCTTTTCTTGCGGTGTAGTGCTCACACAACCAAGAATGTTGAGGTTGGGTTAACATAGCGGATTTAAAATGACAGCGCGAATGAAGCAACAAGAAATCAACCCGCAAATATTATTAGGCCTCATGGTTCTATGGAGTAATCCAAAAACTTTTACCTGTAAACAACTATTTTATCAACTTCGCCCGTTTGTGTTTGTATATAAGTGTTTGTATATAAGTGGTTTGTGGTTTGTGATGTGTGCTACGTCTTTAAGCGAACGTTTAAACATGTATATACCCATACTCTAAAGCAAATATTACAAAACCGTAAATTTAAAGATGTAATATATATATAATTGTAACCAATGAAGCGAAGCTGGAATTAGAAAATTTAACTTAATTTTAAGGAGCGCGAACTCGGTGTCGGATTCGAGGTGCGAGAGAGACTCCGTCGCCACAACTCGCATCAAGCCGAAATTCAACACCACGCTGATTTGTGCCCCAAACTGTAGAGACGAATGATTTGGCCAAGGATACCTTTTATGAGCGCCTCGACAATATTTTCAAAATTTTGCTTGTTGACTTCAATGGCAGGGTGAGCAAAGAAGGTATTTTTGGGACAGCAGCCGGAAAATTCAGCATACACGTCGAAACATCTCCTAATGGACTGAGGCTGATTGACTTCGCAAATATGGTTGTCTGTAGCACTAGATTCCATCACAAAAAAGTGAATCAAGCTACTTGACCGTCTGCAGATCGAAAAACAGAAATCCAGAGTGAACATGTTGTGATAGTCCAAAGACATGTATACCGTATTTAAGATGTACGTACGTTCCATGGTCCTTACGTCGACTCTGATCACTATCTAGTCGCAAGGAAGTTACACACGAGCCTCAAAAATTCTACAAAGAGATGCGACTACATACAAAATGTTTCAAGACCGTACGACCCAGAAGAGTGGTCTGGTGACGGATGTCAGGAGTATACTGAATTTATAGAGAGAGTATAATGAATTTATGGAGAGAAGATGAACCGGAAACTAGAATGGATTACGATGAAAAAATTGTTCCATTAACTGGCTATGAAGAAGTCCAAACAGCAATCGCTCGCTTTAAAAACAGCAAAGCGACTTGAACTGACGGCCTATCGGCAGAACTATTTCAATACTGCGGTAGAGAGCTAATCAGTAGCATCAGCAGTAGCTCCTTTGTAAAATATGGTCCCCAATGCACAAAAGCGGCGATCCCACCGGCTGCGTCAATTTCCGAGGAATAAGCCTTTTTAATATCGCAAATAATGTCCTGTCAAGGGAATTGTGAGAAAAACTATAGCAGACCGTCAACAAAGTTATTGGACCTTATCAGTGTGGCATCAGTGTGGCGGTAGACCTAGTAAGCCAACCATTGATCATATATTCATCATGCGCCCTATTTTGGAAAATACCCGTGAAAAGAGGATCCACACACACCATCTTTTCGTCGATTTTAAAGCAACCTTCGACAGCACGAAAGGAGCTGCCTCTACTCCGCTATGTATGAATTCGGTATCCTCGCAAAACTTATACGGCTGTGTCAGGATCGGGAAGCCGATAGCAAACGAGGTTTCCGACAAGGTGATTCTTTATCGTGTGACTTTTAAGCTGATAATAATGCGAACTGTAGAGCTGTATAGAGAAGGTACAATCTCATAAAAAAGTGTACAGCTGCTGGCGTACGCCGATGATAGTGATATCATGGGCTATAACAACCGCGCCGTGAGTTTTGATCTCTCCAGACTTGATAATGAAGCGAGTGAATGGTTCTGGTAGTGAATTAGGCCAAGGTATAATACCTTCTGTCATTAAACAAACAGTCATCGCATTTGCGACTCCTACTTCACTGTTAACAGTCATAACTCCAAAGTAGTAGATAGTTTCGCCTACCTAGCGACTAGCATTAACACCAATAATAACGTCAGAATAAGTCTTGTCATGAACCTTATTGGACCTCTGCGCATCGGCAACAGCGAATACCGCAGACGATGGAACTAGGAGCTGTACGAACCATACGATGATATTGACACAGTTCAGCGAATGAAAAGACAGTTTTGAAAGCATTCGATGCAGTACCCGATGGTGAAAGCAGAACAATTTGGAGAGTGCCAGCAAAACGAAGAAATAAATGACGCGCTATTATTGATTCGGTTATAATCGCATAAGCGATGCCAACGGCAGTAAAGAAAGCTCATTTTGTAAATTATAAGCATTATTTTGAGTTGAGCTAGGTGCTAGTAAACTGTCCTTAATATTTCACGATACACAGGATAAATTGATGTCGGATAACACGACAATAATGTCACATGTTTAAATAATTTAAAATGTGGATCTTTATACTGACGAATAGGGAGAATAAGTGGAAAAGTCAGAGTTTGGCGGGATATAACTGGCGTCAATATAAATGTTCTTATTAAATAAACGTTGTTTAACTCAAATAAATTCCATTACTTCCGATTTCGGAAAAAAATTCTTAACCAGCACTGTACGTTTGAATACCTTAAAACTTCAAAGTTGCTCCCTAAGATTTCAGAGTTGAAAACATTTTATTTAAGTTAAGTTTCGGAGAAAATCAAGATTTTAAGTCCCAGTTAAACAGTTTTTTGGCTCAGAGAGGGCAACAGGTAGTTGAGAAAGATTGTTTCTAATATTTTTTCTATTGGTATTGTTATTCTTGAACATAAACAGGATTCGGGCAAAACTATAAAAAATCTATAAAACAAGCTATAAATCTTTATTAGGAGAATTTGAACTTCCTAATATCCAAACTGACTGGGTTTAACATTCCTGATAGAATTTCATATTGCCTT